TTCTTGCACAAAATACAGTTGGGAGGTGCCTGCCCGGTGTCTTGGTTTTCTTCCCTCAGGATAAAATCAGGGATGCGAATTCTTTGGGGTGTCCTTGTGTTGCCGCACAAGTCAGTGTTCATTTTCAAAGCAAAAATTGAGAGAAGATGTTTCAGAGTCTTTCAGTTTAAAACATGAAATCAGTTATCCTGTCTGGCATGTGAAGGTTTAAGATGCAAAGATGTCCAAGAAGGGCCCTCGAGGAGCTCCAAGTCCCAGGATGCTCCAGTGCCAGCCCCCTCCAGGTCAATCCATGTTGTCCCTCCAAGCAATCCGAGAGCTTCATATTCACTCTGAAGCCTCCACACTTGTCTTTCACTCTCTTGACGTACATTTGCAAGTGTGTGGGCACAAGTACACACACACACACACACACACACACACACACACACACACACACACAAATCATGTGCAGAGAAGAAACTAAGTTGACATAATAGATTGACGACTTTAAGAACATTCCTCTGGGGTAGATGTTCTTGAGGATTGAATCATCTCAGGAACCCTCTCCTGAGTGTGAGATAGCTGGGAAGGTCCAAAGCCCAGATCCTCCATGCTGGGGTCACATGTGGTATGGCACTGTGCCAAGGCTGGACCTACCCTCCCCATCTTGACCTGTGAGTCAAGGTGGTCAATGTTGTCACTACAGAATAGGATGGCCATAAAAAGAAATCCAATGTAACCCAGTCCATGCCCTTCCCCTAGACTCTTGGTGAAGTCCTCCTCTGTCCTCTTTCCATGCTTCTCTCTTCAGTGAGGGAGCCTGGTCCAACCTGTGGACCTGTTCAGGGCAAGGAGCCCAATCCCACAGTGCCCATAAGAGCCACAGAACCTGCCCTCACTCTTCCTCTTAGTTGTCCTGGTCCTTCTGAGGGGCACAGAGTCAGTAAGTCCTCACCTCAAGTCTCTTTCTCTCCAAATCCTGATCTCCAGCATCTGGAGGTGTTTGTGGCTCTTCCTTTCTGGGACCCTGCTCCAGGGTTGGTAGGGGCTGCATGCCTTCTGAGCTGAAAACAGGTTGCACGATATACTCCACTTCTTGTCTTTTCCTGCTCTGCATTTCTTTCTCCACACCTGCCCACCATCAGAAGACCAATGCTGGATGGAGAAGGGGAAACAGGTGGGGTCATCAGAAAGTTGGAAAGAGGGATTTCCAGGTGACTGAGCTGCACTCCCCTAGAACACTGGTCTCGAAGCGGGTAGCTGCTTCCAGAGGGCGCATTTTCACCAGGGCCTCAGGCATGCAAAAGCGCAGTCCTGGAACCAGGTCAGGTTTTCCCTCCCTGGGAGTGCACGGGGTTATTGCTGTCAGGACATCATGGGCAGGAGTTCATTTGAAAGGTGTAAAGGAAAATGTAAAAAATCTTAACCCCCAATCTCAGGCCCGGAGGGTGAGCCATGCAACACCCTCTTACCCGTGAATAGCTGTTCCTAACATCATATAACAGCTGGATCCCAGGGAAAGGTAAAGAACCCAGGTGTCTACCCAGGGCTGACCACAGGTCATCATAAGTCTGTTTTCACTGGTCTCTCACAAAAACATTCTCATTGTATCTCTAGATCTACAACCTAAGTCTGGTTCCTACATTTCAAATCTGTCCGAATCCACACAGATAATGTTTAGAGGCTTATCTTCCCAGGAACAAGCAAAGTCAGGACTCATTCCTCTACCTGTCTGGAGACATCTGTCTGTATGATCGCCTCTTCCTTTCCTCCCTTATTCTCTTCAAACGTTCCCCTCATTTTATGGAAAGTGTAGTATTACTGAGAACTAACGGATATCTCACAGGAATGAAATCATCAGCTTTGCCACCAACCTGCTCCTCATCCAGCAGGCCTTCCACCACGTTCAGGAAACATATAAATACGAAAACTCCAAAAATCTCTTTTTTTATTATAAAGATGTGGGGTACAATTCAGGTGGGAATGCAAAAATCTCTTTTGAAAAGCAGCCATGAGCCGGCTCGGTGGCTCAGCCTGCAATCCCAACACTTTGGGAGGCCAAGGCGAGTGGATTGCCTGCGTCTGCAGGTTCAAGACCAGCCTGGGTACCTTGGTGAGACCCCGTCTCTACAAATAAATCACAAAAACAAGCAGGGGATAGTGTCGCACATCTGTAATTCTGGCTACTTGGAAGACTGAGGCAGAAGGATTACCTAAGGCCAGCAGGTCAAGGCTGCGATGGCCATGAGCGCACCATTGTACTCCAGACTGGGCGACAAGAGTGAGACTCCAACTCAGAAAAAAAAAGCAACCATGGATGTGTTGTGGCTCCTGTTTTTCTAGAACACACAAATGAGACTGAGAAAGGATCTCTCTTTTGGGTTCACATACCCCTGCCCCATAAATAAAGAAAATATTTGCATTCTTTAAAAAAAATTCCGGGCACCTACTAGTCCTGAGAAGTAAATGAGTTACTTGAGGAACAAGAAGGGCATAGCAACTTAAAACAGCGGCGGAGTCGTTTAGAGCCATGAGGATGTTTGGTTCCCTGAAGACAAAATAGTGTCCATTTTAACAAATAACCCTGGGTTATTTTTCAGAAACCCTGGCACTCAACAAACGGAGCCTCTGCCACGTAGACCACAGATAAGGGGCACTGAAGGTTGAGTTCAAATCACGGTTCTTGGTTCTCAGTTTCTTCCTGCAACCTGGGGAAGATCATGCCATGACCAGAGCTAACATTCTCTTCTGCTCTTCCCAAATTTTTAGACAAATATTTGCCTCCCTAATCACTTGAAAATCAGTGCCAGTCTCGGTGGCTCAGCCTGTAATACCAGCACTTTGGGAGGCTGAGGCTAGTAGATTGCCTAAGCCTGTGGGTTTAGAACAGCCCGGGCAACTTGGTGAGACCTCATCTCTACAATAAATAAAAAATTAGCCAGTTGTGATAGCACATGCCTATAGTTCCAGTTGCTTGGAAGGCTAAGGTGGAAGACTCACCAGAGCCCAGCAGGTCGACACTGGGGTGGCTGTGAGTGTGCCATTGTATTCCAGCCTGGGTGACGGAGTGAGACTCCAACAAGAAAGAAAAAGAAAGAAAGAAAGAAAGAAAGAAAGAAAGAAAGAAAGAAAGAAAGAAAGGAAGGAAGGAAGGAAGGAAGGAAGGAAGGAAGGAAGAAATAAAGAAAACCCGAACATCTTTGACTCCATCTATGAACTGTGAGCACCCCTTTGAGATGGTCCCCCTTTTTAGGTAAACCAAGGTACACCCTCCGTGGATTGATATATGACTTTGCTTCTAAACTCTGTTTCCCCGCTTTATTTATTTATTTATTTTATTTTTTGAGTTGGAGTCTCACTCTGTCACCCAGACTGGAGTGCAGTGGCCGGTCCCGGGCACCACAGTCTCGTCCTGCTGGGTTCCGGTGATCCTTCCACGTCAGCGTTCCAAGTAGCCGGAATTACAAGCGTGCGCTATCACACCCGGCTAATTTTTTTATTTATTGCAGAGATGAGGTCTCACCAAGTTGCCCAGGCGGGTCTCGAACCCGTGGGCTTAGGCAATCCACTCACCTTGCCCTCCCAAAGTGCAGGATTATAGGCTGAGCCACCGAGCCCAACCTCCCTCGCTTTAAACACCTTTACCTGGGAGCCACTGGGGAGTTGGGGTCTTAACCCTGAGCAGTAAATTCTCTTTGCTTGGCACCCTGCAGTAAGTGCCTCACTTCCTCTCCCTGCCATCCCAAATCAGTGTTTCCCCTTGTGCTGCCAAGAGGGCAGACCCCAGATTGCCTTGGTAACATCCTGCAGTTGGCTTAGGAAACCTCGATGATAGAGACTTATGCTTCAGTCGCTCATTTCAGTTGTCAAAGAAAGAAGAGTCCCATGCTATCCCCATGGGACCAGATGAGGAAGTGTTCCCCTGACTCCTACTCCCTCTGACTGTCCTCCCTAGGGCTTCCTGGGGTGCCTCCAGAGTCCGGAGTAGAGTTGGAATCAGTTGCCTCCCCAGGAAAGAGTCCTATTACTCTCAAGATGAGCAGGAGAGAAGCACAGGTGTGGGGATTGGGTAATGTGTCTGCATGTGGCCTCTTGGGTGAAGAAGACTCTGGTCACAGAGAAAGTTCTGGATGTGTGACTTGGCAGAGGAGGACTGAGGGCAATGAATCCAGCATCCAGGGCTGAGGAATGGGCATCTTCAGGGGGTGAGAGGGTGAACAACACTTCACCTACTTTCTGTCACTCATTCCCCTCTTCCTTGCGGCAGCACCTGGAATTTCCTTCCAGTGGTATCCCTGCCACCCTTCCCTTCTTTCCGCTTTCTTTTCCTTCTCTGAGGTCAGACTACACCTTTGGGATCTTGCCCTCCTTTCTGCCCCAGGAGGGGGCAGGAGGGGATCTAGTCCTGTCCACTCCTTTGCCTTCTCCTACTTGTAGAGAGATTGACTGGGACCAATTTTCCACAGCGTGATTCTGGGTACGGAGCCAGAGTTTACTCATCTGGCTCAACTAGATTGAGAGATCTCAACCTAATGGGTCTTGAAACCAAGTGTAGCTTTCCAGGATGACCTCTCTCTGTTCAGAAAGACCGAGGTCCAGGATCATTGGTATAGGAGATGTGGAGAGATAGTTCTGAAACTTGTACTTAGATCTGAGTGGGGTGTGTTTTGGTATGTTAGTGGGCACCTATGTGTGTACCTGCCTGGACACCTGTGTGTGCACAGCAAGGCACAGAGAAGCCAGAGAACAAGATAAGCATTGCAGAATGGTGATATGTCCATACTGGCCAGGACATAGACTTTTTTGCATTGTATGAAAATTTGTATAATCAGTTCAAGGAGGAAGGATAAGAATAAGCAAAACTTTGCATAAAAACTGATCGGGAGGGGAGGACTCGATGCCAGAGAGCCTGGGGCTTAGCTGCCACTGCAGCCCTCATGTACTTAAGTCCCTCTGTGTGACCAGGAATTTGACTCACAATTCACCCCAGTGTATGCGTGTCTATTCTCTGCAAAACCATGTGGCTCTACCTGGCAACCCTCGTGACCCTGTTCTACCTTGTGCGCTGGTACCGGGAGAGGCAGTTGGTGAGCTACCTCCCAGACAAGTATGTGCTCATCACAGGCTGTGACACAGGCTTCGGAAACCTGCTGGCTAGAAAGCTGGACACGCGAGGCTTGAGGGTGCTGGCTGCGTGTCTGACGGAGAAGGGAGCTGAGCAGCTGAGGGGCCAGACATCAGACAGACTGGAGACGGTGATTCTGGATGTCACCAAGCCAGAGAGTGTCGCAGCAGCTGCCCAGTGGGTGAAGGAGTGCGTAGGGGACAGAGGTAATACCCAGGTCCTCAAGTGTGTCTGTTCTTCTCTCTGTGTGAAAGGGATTCCTCCTGTGTGCTCTCTGGGAAGATTCTTGGAGTGTAATTTGGGTTGGAATAACACTTGTCTAGTATTTCTCACCCACCAGGCCAGCCTGAACACCTTCTCTTTCTATTCCCAGGCCCCTTCTGAAACTGGAGAACTTTAGTGTTGGGGAGAGTGTGCCCTGATGAGAATCTGCCCTCCAGATTTCCTCTCTGTCCTCAACTCTACTTTGCAAGCACATGTTCTGGATTGCTTGATGCTGAGTGACTGGCTTTGATAACGGGTGACTTTCTGGAGGGTGTAGAGAAGGGTGCAGCAGGCAGGGAGTGCATGGGTGGTGAAGTCATGGGCGAGCTGTAGCCTGGACATGATCTCAGGACTTCAGCTTGTTCTTACCGGTGCCATCACCCCCCAGATAGCTAAGTCCTTCCCCTTTTTCAAATGACGACTCCAGACTAAGGACTAGATTAAGAAGGCACAACAGGCAAAGGCTTTCTTTTTCTTTCCTTCATCTTTCACCTACACTTACTTTGCCTAATTACAGGAGGACTTAGACATTTATTTTGTTTTATTTTGAAGCAAAATATGTGCCACATGTTGATTATGGAAAATAATGAAAAGTTTAAATGTAACAATTTACCCTTAAATTGGAAGATGAATACTCCAAATGAATACAGACATACTTTTGGCATGTTTATGAAATTGAAATATTTTCTGCATAACTTGTGTCTCATTCTGTTCTCTAAGAGAAGGGGAACTTTTTTTCAACATAATGCAAATGTATAAGATGTAGTATTTTATGACTTAAAACACCTTCTCCTTGATACAGCACTATTTATTTAAGCCATTGTTAGTAGTTCTAGATCAATCTTTTTTCTACATTTTACTGTCATAAATGTCATTTTGGTCTACATTTATTTAAGTGGATCTCTATAAAGTTGTATATTGATTGATTTCTTTGACAAAAGAAATCTTGGTGAAGGAATAGGGTTTCCCTTAAGACCTGGGCATGTTTCCCTGCAGGGAAGGTATTTGCATCCCTGTTCTGCCAGATCAGCAACTTGTCACCTCCTGCCCTCACTCAGGGGATCCTCTGATCCTGCTGGATGAGGTCTGGAAACTTTATTCTTTAAGTCCTTGGGAATCATGTATTTGTGTCTTCCAGAGAGACTTTTCCAGAACTGAGTGAACTTGGTACTGAAGAGGAAGGAGGGAGAATAACCTTTCAATTGGTTGGGAGGAGAGGGTGACATTTGCTAGGTAACAGGGGAGTCTGTGAATTAGGGGGTGAGGTGAGGCGGCCTCGCCTCTTCCCAAAGAGTTCCATTGGGATTCCCAACTACTCAGTATTGATATAGGTCCCCCAAGGGACTGTGCTCCAAGTTCTCTAAGCGTAAGATTTCAGGTCATTTTTCCTACCAAACTAAACCCAGACATTAGATTCTCTTTTTAAATTCTTTTGTCTTCTCTTCCCCGACTTCCTCATTCTCCCTCTCTCTTATTCCATCCACAGATAATTGTTGAACACTCACTATATAACATGTCCAGAAAATCTGAAAATGTGGGCGAATACAGTATCTGCAAGGTCAACTTTAATGTGTAAAAAACAAACATTGGTCTTGTGCTCCAGAGTAGTAACTACACAAAATTTCTTCAACCGGAGTTCCTGTAATCCTCAAATATGGGATGAAATGTCTGTTGTCTACTAGGCAGTGGACCGGGCCCTGAGGAATCCAAGGAGCAAGACTCAGATTCTGTCCTCCACTCGCCGCAGGGTGTACAGGCCCCAGTCCTTCAGACCCGTGTCATTCCTGCTCTACCTACTCTTTGTCCCACACCCTTATTGAAACCCTCACTCTCCTGAAGTGTGAACTTCACTGCATGGGCACAACATGGTGTTACTCTCTTGTCTTCCCACTGTCAGGACTCTGGGGCCTGGTCAATAATGCTGGCATCACCATATTCTCAATTCCCAATGAATGGCAGACCAAAGAGGACTTTGCGACTGTCTTGGACGTGAACCTGTTGGGGCTGATCGATGTGACTCTGAACCTGCTGCCCTTAGTGAGGAAGGCGAGAGGCCGCGTGGTCAACCTCTCCAGCGTTGCTGGCCGGTTGTCCACTTTTGGTGGGGGCTACTGCATCTCCAAGTTTGGCGTGGAGGCTTTCTCAGACTCCCTCAGGTATTGAATAGGGATAGGGCCCGTCCTGAGTTCTCCTCTTTCTAGGGAATACTTTTCCAGGGTGATCACCTCATCACAGCCTTTGAAGATCATTTTCAAGATTCTTCTCTGGCTTCATTCATGATGTCCCCATCCTCTTCTTTCTGGATGTGGCTGGTCATTCACTGGGAAGCATATTTCTGTGTGAAGGGTGGCAGGAGGGTCCCAGGTCACTCACTTAAGTTATCATACCCCTGGCCTGAAAGAGGCCTTCGAGGTTGGGGGTCAAGGGGTGGAAAGAAAGAGGCCCTCAATCAGAAAGGGTCTAACCCTGAATAGTACCACACTTCTTTAAAATGAAAAAAGATGAGAAAAAAAGAAAGAAATGGTCTAAGGCAGATTTGGACACTGATAATTTGTCCCCAGAGCCTGCTAAGCAGAACATGGTGCTCATGTTACCAGTCCCAAGGTTAGAACACCTTAAAAAGAGTCCTTCTATAGGTGGACTCTTAAACTTCTTCCCAGTATACATTGGCATCAAACTCACCTATGGAAACTACAGTCAGTGCTGGGTGGAATGAGGACTTCCCATTGTACAGAAGAAACAGTGAGATCAGCTGCAAAAGCATGCCATGGTCCCCATGTTCAGGGAAGTCTCTCTCTGCCTCTGAGATCAGGTCTTGGCATGGTCACTTCCCTCTCTGCAACATAGAAGACCTCAACTCCTCCCTCGAACCTGAAATACAAAAACTTGTGAGCCAGAGGGCTATGGACACACTCATACTGAAGCAGAGCCCTGGAACAATCACTGATCTGTGCCTGGAAAGACATGATCACACAAGATGACTCACACAGGCTTGTGGGCTGCTCTTCTCTAGGGAAGGAATATTCCAGGTCCTAGGCCCATTCTTAGGTGACTGAGCAGTGGCAAAAAACCATATACAAGAGACTGTCTAACCCAATGCAGCCCTTGTGGGGGTGGGTAGAGCATCTACTTAATATCACACACACACTTTTAGACACTTGTCTGAGTGTCCAAGAAATGTGTGCAGAAACAACATTAAGGTTTCGTCCCTGACGTAAAACTCTGGGAACTGAGGGAGAGACAATCAGATCCAGATACACTTTTGCCCAACTTTATATGTGTGTGACTAGCCACGTTGGCTATGGCAGCCACCAGAATTGAGGCAGGTTCTGGAGATGGGTCTGAGATGAGGAGTGTAGATCTCAACCTGGCAGCCTGGTGAGGAGGGTGGGAGGGCTCCTGGGTAAGGGAGTGACTTCAACCCAGGCCCAGGAGGTGCATGAGCTGACTGCCTGTGCTGTAGTCTGTAGGGTCCTCATAGGTAAAGACGAGGCCAGACCTATAAGGTGGTGCTGGGCAGGTGGGCAGGGAGATCTCATGGAGGGTGAACAGGTGCTGCCCTTCATACTGGGGGGAGTGGAACCCCATGGAAGGAATGTACTCAGGGCAGCCACTGGGTCTCATGGGCATCTAGAACCCCACTGACTGCTGGGAACAACTTGACTTTGAGTGTGGGAGCTAAGACTAGGACAGAGGGTGTGAAATGGATGAATTCTGGTGGTCCATTGGATGTGAGGGATAAGAGTGAGATGATACTGACATGGTGCCTTGCTGCAGAAAACAGGATTTGGAGCTAGTGAGCCTGGGAATGGAAAACATGAAAATTCTATAGAGTGGCAAAGCCACCATCATAATTTTTACTCCCAGACAGATGTACATTATACATTCCTTGTTTTGTTTAGCTTATCCCAACCCAGTGCTACATTTTAGTGTTTTTGTTTTAATGTTATTGTTTGTGTGTTTCCTTCTAAGTCGCTAGAAGTTTTCCCAGAGCCTCTGTGTCTTGCAGGAGAGAGCTGTCCTACTTTGGGGTGAAGGTTTCCATAATCGAGCCTGGTTTCTTCAAGACTGAAATGTTAAGTAAGGAGAGATTCTTAAAGACCCTTCAGGAGTTTTGGGACCGTGCCACACCGGAGGTCAAGAAGATCTATGGCGAGAAGTTTCTGGCATCCAGTGAGTGATCTGTGGACAACGGGGAGGGACGCAAACCCTCATCAGCAATCCTTGGTCGACCATTGGTGCCTCCAGTAGGATTCGGGCTTGTCCTTCAGGCTCTACCTTCCCCACAGACTAGCAACCTTTAGCTGCACTCTCATGGTGGGTGCTGTGACATATGGTCACGGCCAGCAAGTGTCTGGGTTTATTAGAACATGGGGCCAGGCCAGGCATGGTGGCACACACCTGTACCTTTGGAAAGCCAATGCAGGAGGATTGCTTGAGCCCAGGATTTGAGACCAACCTGGGCAACAAAATGAGGCCTCATTTTACAAAAATAGAACTATTACATAGGTATGGTGATGCATGCCTATAGCCCCAGTTACTTGGGAGACTAAAACAGAAGGATCACCTGATCCCAGGAATTTGAGGTTGTAGTATGCCCTGTTCATGTTGCTGCACACAGCACACTGAGTGGCACAGTGAGCTTTGGACTAAATAAAAAGAACCTGGGACCTGTGTCTAACTGTTCCCCTTGTTATTTCAAGGAGCAAGGTGAGTCAGTGAGGGAAGATACCCGTGTCCTCATGGGAAGCTGGCTTTAGAGAAAGATGGTTGCATGTGCTCAGTTTTGAGTGTGGGTAGAGAGCTTCAATTTGTGGAGTCCAGATGCCCCAGGGAGCCAGGTATGGCTCAGTGAAAACAGTATTCCTTGCCAGGGTGAGCTCCCCTCAGAGAATTTGAAGGAATCTGACTTGGGGCATTGCTTGGGTGGAAGAGGGGAATCCGAACTCAGGCATTTTCCACTCTATGTAGACCTCCAAGTAGGACTGCTTGCAGGTGGGTGTAGACATGGATTGTTTCTCATTCCTAACAGACGTGAAAAGAGTCGAAAAACTCGAGCAAAGGTGCACAAAGGATCTGTCCTTGGTGACGAATTGCATGGAGCATGCGCTGACTGCCCGCTACCCCCGCACGCGCTATTCTGAAGCTTGGGATGCCAAGCTTCTCTACCTTCCCATGAGCTACTTGCCCTCCTTGCTGGTGGATGCCGTGATCTCCTGGGGCTCTCCAAGGCCAGCCAAGGCCCTGTGAAGCCAAGGCCAGGTGCATGGTGGGTGGAGTTGGGTGCTGTGTGAGAGTGATATGTTATCGGGAAATAAAAATGGGGTGGAGGGAGGGAGCTCCACTGTCATGAGGGGACTTTAAACATTCAGTCTCATCTCCTCCACAGGCTTGTGTTGAGATATTATTCATCTGATAATATTAGATGGAAAGAACCAAGGTATTGCTGAAGAATGGGGCTCCCATAGCATTCAAGTGTCCTGTTGGCGTGGGCAACCACTCAAGCTTTGAATCTCTCAGCCAGTTCTGAGAAATTCACCCAACTGGGGCGGGTGTGAGCAAGTGGAAGGAGCCACATCTCACACTGTCCCTGGCTCCTGCCCACCTCCTGGGGTGTACATTGGCCAGGCCAGTCGACACCTCCTTCTGATGGAAATGACCTGGAGGAAGTGGATCCCCACCTCTGAGATATCCTGAGTGGACGTTTGAAGATAACCATCAGTCTGACCCCTCAGACCTCAGGTGGCAGCGACACAACACTGGCTGGGAGGGATCCTGACAGAGGACACAGAAACCAGCTTTTGATTTTTGTTAAAACCATGGATTTCTTCAGATCTTTTGCTTTAGAATAAATGTGGACCTGGTTTAAACTGCAGCCTTTGGGAGTGGTGGTTGTAGACCTATGGGAGGAGGAGGCAGGTGCCTTCAGAGAAGTCAGTGGATTAGAGGAAAGAGCTGAGAGGGATTTGGAGAGGGAAGTTGGATTATCCTTACCCTTCTTCAGCCCTGCCTGCCATAGCTGTGAGGATGGTTGTTTCTCTTCCATGATTTATGAAGTGCCCTGAGTCCCTGGCATAGAAAGAAGGATGGGCAGGCAAGGAGATGTCAATATGACACTTCAAGGTCCCAGATCCCTTCCTCAGGGACTATGATGTCTTACTCTCCTTGCCAGCACCCTCTCTGTAGCCCTCAGTGCCCTTCCTCAGCTTAAAGTTATTGCACTTCCCTCTTGTGCCAACCCTGAGATCTCTCACCCAGATGCCTACCTACCTCCCCCTTAGTGGCAGGGAGTGGCAGTCACTTCCTGACCCATATTTCATGCACAAAGTACAGTTGGGAGGTGCCTCTCCCCACGTATCATGGTTTTCCTCCTTCAGGATAAAAATCAAGGATGCGGATCCTTTGGGGTGTCCTTGTGTTACTGCAGAAGTCGTCCATTTTCAAAGCAAAAACTGAGGGAAGATGTTTCAGGACCTTTCCATTTAAAACATGAAATGGGTTTTCCTGTCATGCCCATGAATATTTTACATCAAAGATAACCAAGATACATATACACAATGGAATAGTATGCAGTCATAAAGAAGGACAAACATATGGGCTTTGCAGCAACTTGGATAAATTTAGAGTCTGTCATACTCAGTGATCTATCACAGCAACAAAGAACTGAATACCATATGTTCTCACTCATAAGTGGACCCTGAACATTTACCATAATACTGTAAGAAAGGGATTGGCAATAGCAGGATACTGCCGGGGTGGCAGGCGGGTGGGGGGAGCACAACATCTATAAGGGTCCCTGAGGTCAAACCAGGCCAAGTGGGGACCAAAGGAAAGCTCAAACTTTACCTGTACGATGACCACTTGTATACCTAATCCTGAATTGTACCCTACATCTTTAAAATTAAAAAAGATGACTAAGAAGAGTCCTCAAGGAGCTCTAAGTCCCCTGATGCTCTTGTGCCAGCCCACTCCCGGTCAGTCCTTGTTGCCCCCTCAAAGCAATGGAAGATCTTTATATTTACTCTTCACACTTTTCTTTCACTCTCTCAGCATATATTTGTAAGTGTCTCCACACAAGGACAGACACACAGTCATATAGCCAACCATGTACAGATGAATGTACAGCCCACTGGAGTAAAGTAGGTGTTTATGCAGTTTTACTCACTTCCAGGAGTCCGCTCCCGAGTGCGAGACTGTTGTGAGTGTACAAACCCCTAGCCCTCCATGCTGACCTCCACTGGGCATCTGGCTACACAGAAGCTGGACCTACCCTCCCTCATCATGGCCTGTGAGTCTAGGGGGCCATCTTTGCCACCACATGTCCATGAAACTATCCTTCTGAAATAGGGACCGAGCAGACACCAACACCAAAAGTACAAGTTATAAAAAAGGAGAGGTTTTTATTAGCCAAGAGCTGGGCTGGCGGCCACTTGCCTGCTGGACATAACAGTCCCACAGCAAGGGGCGCTCATTAGCTGTAGGGGCTTGCTTAAATGGGGCTCAACCACATTGGGACTTTCCAAGTGGGCCAAATTGCAACATCCTGGAGGCCTAGGCACCTTTCAAGCAATGCAAGCGGGGTTCACAGAAGCAGGAAAAAAAGCTGTTAAACAGTTTAACCTAGCCAGCAGGTGATGTTGCCAGTTTCCAGGAAGGGAACTCTTTTAACTGTGCAAAGGCTGAGTACATGCTTAACTGTACAAAGGCTGAGTTTATGCTTAGCCTGATGTTTGACATTGTAGATGTCTTTTTAAGCCCCCTTCCACACTTCAACCTAGAAAAGTCCCCCTCTATGTTCCTCCGCCGGCGAGGGAGCCTGGTCCAGACCTATGGGCCTGTGAATGGCTGGAGCCCACCCCCACAGAGCCCACAGCGGCCACAGTAGTTGCCTTCACACATTCTCTTTACTGTCCTGGTCCTCCTGAGTGGCACAGGGTCACTGATTCCTAGCTTCATGTCCCTTCCCCTTAACTCCTTATCTGCAAGGGGGTGGGTGACCCTTTCTTTTTGGGACCCTACCCCAGACTTAGTAGGGGCTGCATGCCTGCAGAGCTGCAAACAGGTTGCATATGAACCCCACTTCCTCTCTTCCAATTCCACTTTTTCTTTCCTACACCCGCCCCTCTTTGGAAGAGTCACACTGGAAGAGAAGGGGCAATGGGTGGGTCGCCATGACACCGAGAAGAGTGGCGACCGGGCTGCTGATCTGGGCTCCCCTGGGAGGGACACCAATCCCAACAGGCGCCCCCGCGGAGATCCGGCGAGGCTCCTCCAGGGGACACACGTCCGCCGCAGCGCGCAGGAGCTCCGAAGTGCAGCCCTGGAACCGGGCGAAGCTCTCTCCTTTCTCGGGAGTGCGCGGGCTGTCACTGTGGGACGTCTTGTGCAGGTATCTCAGTGGAAGTTGTACAGGAAAATAGAAAATGTCACGAGCCTCAAACTTAAACCTGGAGGTTTAAGTTTGCAAATGAATAGCTGGCGCCGCCCCACCCCTTCCTGATTACTTTGGTGGCCTGCTGGCTGCGCCGCTGTCGCCGCCGCCTCTGCCCGCCCTCGCTGCCCCCCCCAGGGGACCAAAGAGGGAATGAGGGAGAGGACTCCTTCAGGGCTTCATCCCTGCCACCCGCAGGTCGGTGAGGGAGAGAAGAGACGGGCCACTTCTGTGCGCCCACAAAACGGAGGCCGCAGCCACCCACTGCCGCGCGGCTCCCTGCAGGTGGGGTCTCCTGGCACCCCGCAGCTGCCTCTGCCCTGCCTGAACATGGCAGCGGGTCAGCGCTGCCCTGAGGACGCGAGGAGGAGAAAACATTACGAAGCCCATCCCAACGAGAAACTTTAAAAAACAAAAAGAGAAGAGTCTGCCCGCACAGGAAAGAAGGGAACGCTGCAAGAACACGGGCAAACCTGAATGCCAAGTTGTTTCCAGAACTACAAAGGATCCTGCCAGCTTCCGACCCATGGATCCTAACCAGAACGAACTGTCCCTAATGATAAATACAGGAATGTAAGCGTTATACTCAAGGGATATATGCATAGGTTTGTTACCTAGGTATATTGTGTGATGGTGAGGTTTGTGCTTCTATCAAGCCCATCACCCAGGTGGTGGACAGGGTACCCAGTGGGTGGTTTTTCCACTCACCCACACTTCCCCTCTTTAGGAGTCCCCAGTGTGTGTGTTGTCCCTATTCATATGCCCATGTGTATTCAGTATTTAGCTCCCACTTAAAGTGAGAACACGCAGTATTCAGTCATCTGTTTTTGTGATAATTCACTTAGCTGCATCCATGTTTTTTCTTGTCAATTCTTTTAATTCCTTATTTGAGGGGGATTCCCCCCCCAAAAAATGGACTTGTGTTTATTTTTTGGAGGGCAGGCTCCTTGTAGTACAGACTTTCCCCACTAGGTAAGTGTTCTAGGAATCCAATCCATTGATTTTTATGTGGACATTCATCTGGGATTTGAGGAAGAAACGTCCTGGGCTGTGGCAAACAGGTGACTGGTTCTTCCACCATGACAATGCACCTGCTTACACCACACTGAATGCTCAGCAGTTTTTGACCAAAATGGCATTACCTCCATGCCCCACCCTCCCTATTTATCTGATCTCTCCCTGAGCAACTTTATTTTTTTGTTTCCTCGGATGAAAAAAAGTCCTCAAAGGGAAACGTTTTGCTAGTGTGGGAGAGGTGAAATTAAAAATGGCAGAAGCACTAAAAGGCATCAAAATTGATGAATTCAAAAATTGTTTTGAGCAGTGGAAAAGCATGTTGATAGATATATTGCATCAAACGGATGGTACTTTGAAGGTGACTAAAGTTTAGACATGTAAGAATAAATATATGCTTAAATAAATAAATTCCAGGTTTTTTGGAGTCCCCCTCATAGATTCTGGTTATCAATCCTTTGTCAGATGCATAGTTTGCAAATATTTACCCCATTCTGTGGGTTGTCTCTTTACCCTGTTAATAGTTTCCTTTGCTGTCAGAAGCTTTTTAACTTGATAAGGTCCCACTTGTCAGTTTTAGTTTTTGCTGCATTTGCTTTTGAGGACTTGGTCATGAATTCATTGCCTAGGCTGATGTCCCAGAGAGTGTTTGTTAGATTTTTCTGGGGTGTCTATACTTTGGAGTCTTATGTTTAAGTCTTTAACCCATTTTGAGTTAATTTTTTGTATATGGTGATAGGTAGGGGGTCCAGCTTCCTTCTGTATATGGTTAGCCAGTTTTCCTAGCACCATTTGTAAAATAGAG